GTATATAAAAAAAATATTAATACATATAGAAATAAAATAATAATAATATATATATATATATATATAAAATTAAAATTAAAAAAAATTTTTATATTTTATTTGGAAGTTGATGGTAGTGAGGATTGATAACCAGCATCTTCAGGAGGTGGTGGTTGTGAACTTGAAGGAGGTGGAGACGTATTAGCAGATGTTGAAGGATCTTCAGTCGGATGATCATATTCAGGAGAGTACAATTTTTCTTCATCGGTTTTGGCATTATTTGAATATATTGGTGATGGTTCAGAAGTAGGGATAACTACACATTTTCTTTTTTTTGAACTTCGAGTAGTCATGGTAGATGTGTGAGCCCTCTTACATTTTTGACTCCACTTACTTGACAATGCTGTTGGTTTACCTTTCTCATCTTCAGTTAAAGATTCTTCATCATCAGTAGCAAGGGCGAAAAGCATTGCCTGTTGCTAACTTATCCTAATTAATTAAATTTAAAATATTAGAATTGATTTAAGTATATTAATTATAATTAAATATATATTACTTACTATATTTTTATTTAGTCTATTTTTTGTAATTTCATCACTCATAGTTAGCTTTCATAATGAGCATTAAGCATTATTTGGCATACCGTAATTGTGTATGCCAATTGTATATGGGTTGGTATAGCAGCAGGCCATGCTCTCGCAAGTATTTGAGTAAAATAGGTATCATTTAGATCATTTTCAATTGGAGCGAACAATTTTCGAAAACATAATTTAGTTTTAGTCGAATTTTTCTATGCCACAATAGTTTGCGGCGTGGCAGTTAAATTAATCGGATCTAAAAAGGTCTTCTCAAAGACAGAAAAAATAGATTCCTTAATTTTCGAAGTAACTCGGCTTCGACATGCACGATGCTAGCTTAATAACTAATTATATATTATTTGAATTTAATTAAATATAATCGAATTAGTTCGAATTATATTAATATTATACATAAAATAATAAAATATATAAAAAAGCGAATTAATTTAAATAATATTAAATAAAATAAATAAAATTTTAAAAATATAAAATTATATAAAAATTAATT